TTATGCCTTGATACATTCTTTTTTAATGAACAGTTTACGCGTGTTGCATGGCATTTTTAAAATGGTATTTTTGGAGATGTTCTTTAGGAAGACAGCAAGATACATGTATGTCTGAAGGTTTAATTCTATGGCGAATAAAATATTTGAAAAACGTGTTTTTGCTAGCTCAGAAAATATTAAGCACTGTGGGCATTTTAATCTTAAGTTTGAGCCCAGCATAAGAAATACTTCTAAAAACCCATGAAATTAGATGTTTTTTTGCTTCCTGGAAATATGTAGTTTGCGCTGGACCTTTATATTGACCAAATTCCAATTTTTTCATTCGTCAAAGTTTTAAAAATTATTTAATCTGTGAGACCGTTTTGGCTGTTTAACATTCTCGTTTTAGACATCCGTTGTTGAATTTAGTGTGCAAATTTTCATTAAAGCGCGACTGGTGACATTAGAATCTTAGAAGTTAAAAACGTGGTGTTAAAAACCTTAGTGTTTGTTTGAAGTTTAATGTTAGAATGAAAAGAAATAAAAACGATCAAGTCTTAATCATGTCTCAAACCTTGCTGTCTTCCTCAGAATAAAATATCTCTTAAGTTTTCTTTTGCGAAACTTTTCTGACTAATAAAGTCTGATTGGCGAATATAAGTGTAGTTGTTTTACTGTGCGTAGAATGGGAAAGAGACTTTCTTAATATTTTGGTATTCATGTCAGTTTGTTAATCAGAATTCTCGAAAAATATCCAGATAATTAACAAAGCGTTTAATAAGAATAATAAGCGAGTCAATTGTCTAAATTAAAGGATAGTGGAATGTAAAAATGGACCTTTTTATTGTACAATATAACTCACGCACGGATATTAATTTGTTGCACAGATTATTTTTCGCGTAAAGATGAAGGGACATTCATGTAATAGAAAGTTTTTTTCTGTTTACCAAATTCTACAGAATTCTTTTCGGCAATTGACCAAATCGACCAGCAGACACCGAGACAATGTTTTTTGTCTCGAATTTGGGATGATTTGATGGAAGAAAGTAGCAAAAGATTTCTTAAAAGTTATTTTTAATTAAAGATGATACAGAGATGATACAGAGTGTACATGTCCCTTGATTTTTACCTTGGTGTTATACATGTACCAGTTGAATATATATTGTTTAAATTATAGCTTTTGTTAGAAACTTTTTGAATTCTATATATTGTAACGGAACCTTTTTGGTTCATCTTATTTTTCAATTCCCGACTCAAAGCTGAAAATTATTTTACAAACGCTTTATGACATTTTTGGCAAAACTGAAAGCATGCCACTTTTTTCATCGAAACAGTAATTCTCGAATTCCTCCATGGCATTAAATTTCAAAAAGACCGTTTATCGGAATAGTTTTCATATCACTTTTTGTTATAAAGAGACGCAATGGCAGCGAGTCTATGATATACTATAAGGGGCTATATATAAAGTTTTGAAATTCATGGAAATTTGGAGCATTTTTAATTTAGCACTCGATTATATCAGTTCGTTACTTGGCAGTTTTTATTTCTTACCAAATTCATGGGGAGGGGGAGGGTACTATGTCAGCCATTGCCTCTGAGAAGGAAGAAGTGACCAAATATATCCTTGTTTTTTAATGCGTCGTTTTGTATTTTAATACATTGGAATGAGCCCAGCTATAAGTCAAGTAGTTTTGTTGGTAGTTTATTTGTAAAATTTAACAAATAGAAAGGTGTACATATTTCAGAAAAATCTCTGATGTAACTTTGTCTTATATATAGTGAACAATGTTAATAATAATTTCTGTAAATGAAGCTTGGCAGAAAGATGCCTTAAATGTATTGATGTATATATGGAAATTTATTTTGCTCTTAATAAAACTTTAGAAATCTGTTCGAAATGCCTTAGTGTTTCATTGGCTCAGTGGGTTTCTAGGGGTTGGGGTTCGAATCCTGGGTTGGGTGTTTGGAAATAAGTAGATATTTTTCAAGAAGGCCTTTTTGAATTTCCGGTTGGTTACTATAAGAGAAAAGTCTACCAGGGGTGGGTGGGTGGGAACACTTAGAGGAGTGGACAGCACGCGCGACTCGGACACAGCAACACCAGGTTCAAAACCTGGCGCTTCTAGGTCCCAGCAAATTACCTTTTGCCAAAAAATTCTAAATAGGTAATTTAAACCACGATAGAAGGATTCTTTTACCTTCTTCCAAACAAGCTGAGGCAGTGGCTCAGTGGGATAGACGACAGACTCGGAAGCAGAAGAGTGAGAGTTCGAGTCGAGCTGAAGGAAAAAGAATCAGTATGTTTTGACAAAAAATCTAACAAATATAAGTTTTTTATTTTTCTAACGAGTTGAAACAATTTCATTATTTACAATTAGACTAAGTTAAAATGACATTTGTATTCTACATTAAAAGCAATTCCTATTTTAATTATTTTACAAGTCAAAAATGGAAAAGCTACGATCCACCAACAAGTCAGACATTTTATGCATTTTGAAAATCACTACTCAAACTACATTTTTATTTTAATATATAGAAAAGATTCTGTGGAATGAAGCAGCCAACAATGTAAAAACCAGAAAATAGAATTTACAGGGTTAGGTCCGATTAAAAATTAATTGAAGTTTGTGCATTTATTTTATTTCATTGAAATAATTGCGTAAACTCAGTAGTTCATTCGCATACGGGAATTCAAAATGCATATAATGTCATTCACCTCAAATATACAAACACTCCTTGTTCTATGTCGTCGCGCTGAAGTTCGCACGCAAAACCAAAGACTGAGCCAAAACAAATTATTTCTCAAAGATTTTTGGTTGTCCTACTAATTGATAGATATATGTAGCTCACATCAAATCCTAAAACATGTACATGTATCTGCTAAATTTTTTCCTTAGAAAACAAGTTTCACAGCGTGCGAATCAGGAACGACATAAAAAGCATGGTGATTTTACAACTGTATCTAATCCATATCCATCTTAGGCATAATACACACAAGAAAGTGAATACACAAAAATCAGCTTACTTGATATAACTTACCAACACATTGATTCAGAAAATACTGATAAATTTAACTCTGGTTCCCGGAGTTCAGTGATCAAGAGACACCAAGCATATACATGTATAACCCATTAGGACGTGTTGGACTGGCATAATATGCGGTCTTTTTTTTCAATTATCCTTTGACCTTACCAAAATACATTGCATAATTTTAGAAGTACTGTGTACAAGACCAACATTACATAGAACGCCTAGCTACAAAGTTTTGGTAAAAATTAGTTCTAAAAATGGCAAATAGGACAATTTTTTATGCGTATATTTTTATGAATGTCGATTTTTGACGTTTATTGAGAGAAACAAAATAACCATGAAAAATATTATGTTTAGATGCTAATTTGGTAAAGTCGCAAATAATAGGCAATGTGAAAGAACTGCTTTAAAATAGCGATAGGCGTTGATAAAGTCTTATGAAATTTTCAAAAAAAAAAAAAAAAAAAAAAATCTTGTAAATTTCTCAATGAATTCATTCATATTGTACTCGTAGAAGATTGGAAAAAGTTGCCGGCCTTAAATCAATATCGTGGACATACTCGCTACCCCAAATATTTAATTTATAATAATAATCAAGGTATAATAATCAATTTGAGTTTGATAAGCAATTTTCAAAAATTCAAAGTGGAAAAGGTTATGATAAATGCCAGTCCAACATAGACATTTTAATGATGAAAGCTCCGAAATAATTCACTTTTATTAATTAACCAGTTATTTCTTGATGATTACCCCATTTCTGGTTTGTGATATTTGCATACACACGCTATCAAAACACCGAGAACCAAAGCAAGTTTATTCCTAGCATACGTCACAATTCCATTTTCACGGTTTTAAGAATACTCATTCAAAACGTGTGGGCAATTCTGCATTAACCTAGGCACGTTTGTGCAGTTTAAAAATACCATTATTTCTGAAGCAAACATGTCAAAGTTATAATTTTTGCAGATTTTTATCTCGAATTTTTTCTTACAACTTTATAAACAACATAGTAATAAAAGTCACCTATATGCACTAGACGTAATGAAGTTGCGAATTTTTTTTCCCAGGGTTTAACCTAATCAAGATAAATGTTAGAGATCTATTCAAAAGGAATAAAAAACAAGTGCAAAGCAATATGTCTAATTGCAGATTTGCCCACACGATATACATTCCCGCAAAAACAAAAAAAAAAAAAAAACAAACAAACAAACAAACAAACAAAAAAAATAAATAAATAAATAAATAACAATTGAAGGTCGTACTAGCACAGTACTCTTCCTGAACATTAGTGATAACTTTACAACAATCACTGCATTGATTATTTTCACACAATACTTACTTAAGCGAAGCACTTTTGTACTGACATAATTTCTCTTAAAGTGTAATTTCACAAGTTTCGTTCCGGTTCCAGGAACCGATGGCCACTTTTTTTTCCGAACTAAAAAAGTCACATAAATTAACCAAAACACACCATGGACAGATAGAGTACTGTGCTACGACATATAATTGTACGCGGACTCTTCATGGGACTTATCCCCCTATTCTACACCGACTGCGAATTCCACGAACTGCCAGGAATTGTCTAAGTTTAGAAATCGAGAGGAGTCGTGAGATTTTGTATATTTCAGGAAGACATTTTGTCCCTGTTTTGGCTTAAATTCACTTGCAAAATGAATGCTCAACATAAGAGAAGCTGAAGTACTTGGTCATAGAACTGAAGAATGAACATCAACAGGTGATAAATGGAAGACTGGTTTTAAACAAGTTTCGATTTCATGATCTTTCAGAATTGCAAGAAAAACCAAATAAACAAGGATCAGTTAAGCGCTTTAATAATTTATCACGATTAAACTAAGTACCATGGGGTTTATAAATTCCTGGCGGTTCGTAGAATTCGTAGTGGGTGTGGAATATGTGCAATGCAGGGTTGACACTTAATGCAGATTTAAGTTCTTTCTTTTTTTCTCATTAAAAGGTTCATGAATAAAATGCACGTTACGTGCGATGCTTCATCTGATACACGTGTATTTTGGCGAAAATTATTACCACCCAAAGCAAGCTGTGCATTTCATATTAAGTGTCAACCCTGCAAAAAGTCTAGATGACAAACGTCGGCAAGCGAGGCAATCGTGGCTCGCGATCGGGTACAGGCGAACACGAATCTGAGGTCTTTGGTGGAGGATGCTACCAATGTCCTTTCCAGGGGTGGTTAAAGTCACTGAAATTCAACGAAGGAATTCACATTAGCAAAACGACACGTGTCTTTGTATTAAACACATTACTATTTAAACTGTAAATCACAAGAATAAACTTTTAATAAGTGTAGTGTTGAAAACTAACGTGTAGTGTTGAAAATACTTGTGCCAATAGCATTTGATTCATTGTCTCAAGGGACGGAACGTAAAAGAAATCAAGAAAAATCGCCGTAAAGTCGGCAGTAAAATAGCAGGTCCATATGGAGCCGGAGATGTTATTTACCTGTCTAGCCATATTACATCGTTGAAGACAAAGCGAGTTCAGACAGCTTGAAAGCAGCAATACGCCCTTTACTGGTTCAGTGGTTAGTGGCAAAAGCGTCCTCCCTGTCAAACAAAAGAAAATAATCTATTAAGCCGGCTGTGCTCGACTTAGGAAAGGGCCATTGTAATATAATGTAACAAAATATTCATGTGGTTATCATGACTAAAATGTGGAACGCACTATTTACGGCAAATATCGTCAACGCAAATTAAACCTTTATTTTTTTTACGTACACAGATATGAAGGCACCAATCTACACACAGTAGTACAACGACTTGTTGCCAGTTTAGGTGTTAAACGTCAAGCTTACCTGTAAAATCCGTAGCATTTCGACATGAGGCTTCTTTCTTCGCCATATCTTCTTTCTTCTCCTGACCTTGGTCGTATCTGAGCACCTCTCACCAAATTGCTCACCTGGTTTTCATAACAATGTATATAGGCCATCCACTTTCCGCACGGAAGCCTCGATTTAAAATTTAGCCTTGCTTTTTTGTCTTTTTCTTTTTTTTTTTAATTGGTAATAAGGCACAGTGGATCCTCATATTGTAACGGGGAGCGTGGTCTGTAAAGACCATTATGGCAAGACCAATCACATTTTATCAGCCGTCATTATCAAACAGGTTCCACAGATCACTGAATGAATCCAGCTTAATCACTACTGCGGGATTGTGTTAGAGAAGTCAAAATGTGCTTTTCTCTAAATCGACGGCGTTGCCAACAGATTTATTGTTATATAAAAAAGAAAAACATATTAGCAGTAAAATCTGAACTAGAAATAAAAGCACTTTAAAGGCGTTTCATTTCAATAACTTGTAAGTTGTCTTGCATCAAACGGAACCCATAACGATGAAAAGTACAATGTCATAATGACGTAATTTGGGTGACAACGTTGCGAGGAAGTTTTCTGTGACGTCAATGGACGTGTGCTCAGCCATCACACGTGACATATGACGTTATCATTATGACTTCACATAACAAGACACTTGTTTCTAATGGCAATTGTAAAGATTTTTTTCCGACAGGCTAAAAGACAGTTTATGCTGGTTATAAATTTCACACTGTTGCCTCGTAAATAACCAAGGTAGGTCTTTGGCCCAGTTGAGTAAGGTAAGTGGCATTATTTGCACTGAATTATAATTATTATTATTATTATAAAAATGTACAAATGACGTTCTATTTGTGGCAACACATTGGAGCCGAATATTTTGCTGATTTTTTATACCACCCAAAGTTACTAGATTTCTGCCACATTGATGCAGAAATAGATTAGACATAAGCATTTAACGCCAGTATAATAATAATAATAATAATAATAATAATAATAATAATAATAATAATAATAATAATAATAATGTTTACGCTCATATAAGTGTGCTGTTTTGCAATAATAAAGTTATATAGCCCTCATAGAGACTTTGCTCTGTGAGTTGGACCAAATTAATTTAAAAACAAATCAACAGGACATGTCACTGCCGAATGTATTTGCTAAATTACTATGTCACTGTCGAATGTCTTTGCTAAAATTACTATGAAATGTGATAAAAAACGTTCTTTGCCATTCGCGTACGAATCCAGTCGTAAGTGTTTATGCGTGTTTGTGTTGGAATGGTGGTGCGGGTCTTTCCATTCAGAAAACAAAATATAGGAGATGGGGGGCGTAAAGTATAGAGTCTGCATTTGAAGTTAGGTATCGGTTGACTGTGGACTGTGAACTGTGGCGCTAATTCATTGTACGCTTGTCTGGGTTTCACTTGTCGGTGACGCTTGTGCACGTAAATAAATAAATATCAACATTTGAAGACAAGGTAAATTTTAGCGACGTCTGATGGACCGGGAGAGAGGAAAAGTTTAGCAAAAATAGCATGTAAAATAAAATGTAAAATAACTAGGTCGGGGGCAATTGCCAACCCTCCACGTAACACACGGCCTACGGCTCTGTCTAAAACGAACCCTTCTGACTTAATGACATGAATTAAATATCTAAAAAACGAGTATTTTGTGAAGTTTCGGTGTGCAGTTCATATTAGGATATCGTGTTAAGGTTATGTAGCATATTAAGTGTAATTTTTACGGCACATTTGCTTACAGTGAATCACATGTAATCGCATGTATTCCCAAGTAAATTATCAAACTCACCCACACATTCATTTGGTATTATATATAGAGAAAACAGTCATAAAGCATCTTGTAATTGAACATTCACAAATAAATTTCTTTTCTTGCCACTGAAATTATAAACCCAGCACAATCTGCTAAGCTACCGATTGCAGCAGAGAAGACTTCTTTTCCCACCCGATGGAGCTTTAGGAGCGAAAACTACTCGGTAGAAAGCGTGCAGTGGACCTCATTTGGATAGCCAGTGACCTACATAATGCAATTTTGTTTTAGGGTGGGTAAGGTTCTGGGATTTATTTACTTCTTGGATATTTTGATGTATGTCGAACACCAATGCATTTCATATATTTTGAATCGAGTAAAATTTTAATCAAGTTACATCTGTCAGATAGTGGTGACTGTTGAACAGAAAAAAATGGTTACTTCGGCCTACCTCGCCCCCTTTTATACTACATGAACGTACCCTCTGAAAAGAGACGTGACTACTTCAGTTCTGAGTGACCAGGGAATGGACACAAGGCGATCGAGATGCTTCTAAGTATGGAATATTATTTCAATTACAACCGATTTGAACAGCGAAACCGTGTAAGATATTTAACCAGTATGTTGGGTTTGTAATGATGATGTATTTGTGATTCTATTTTTGAAAGTATTTTGTGGCATGCTAGCTTAAAACGGATTTGAGTCATTCCCCAATATTTTCCCCACGTGACATTTTGGTTCCTCCATTACGTCTTCGTTTCTTCACGTCTCATGAAAATTGCAGTTGCACCTCGTGTTTACCTCCAGTATTTTGAACTTCGTTGTTAGATATATAGCAAAGGTAGCAAACGGTTTACGCTGAAAAATTGTCACGTGCACGTGAGGAAATGTTGTGAAGTGACCAGTTTAAAATCTTAGCCATTGGCATGTTGACATTTATAGTACGTGTAGTGAGCAGTTGGTAGCAAATCGCAATATACTAGGATAGGTACGAACATATACTTCCATTCAAAATTAAAGAGCATAATATGGGTGTATTGATATACTTCTTTTTGGGCTCTGGCCCGATCTCACAAATAAACTTATAATGTTTCAATCGGTGAAAATATATGAGATGAATTACAGCTGTGCTGATTTTGTGACAGATTTTTAAATTCACTTTGTAAGGCATAAGGGATTTCGCTCTTACTTTTGAAACTCTACTTTTCAATGCTTACAATTTCAATATCACGCTATTCAGAAAAGTTCAAATCTCTTTTCAAAGGCATTTTCGTGCCATTTTTATTTAAGACGTCACGAATTTAGCAGAGAAAATATTGAATATTTGAAATCTGGTATATTTTAAATTGCGATATCTTTTTCTGATGAATAAATTTGCCCCTTATGCCTTGATACATTCTTTATAAATGAACAGTTTACGCGTGTTGCATGGTATTTTTAAAATGGTATTTTTGGATGTTATTTAGGAAGACAGCAAGACATGTCTGAAGGTTTAATTCTATGGCGAATAAAATATTTGAAAAACGTGTTTTTGCTAGCTCAGAAAATATTAAGCACTGTGTTTGAGCCCAGCATAAGAAATACTTCTATAAACTCATGAAATTAGATGTTTTTTTTGTTTCCTGGAAATATGCTGGAACTTTATATTGACCAAATTCCGATTTTTTCATTCGTCAAAGTTTTGAAAATTATTTAATCTATGAGACCGTTTTGGCTGTTTAACATTCTCTTTTTTGACATCCGTAGTTGAATTCAGTGTGCAAAATTTCATTACAAGCGCGACTGGTGACATTAGAATCTTAGAAGTTAAAAACGTGGTTTTAAAACTTTGGTGTTTGTTTAAAGTTAAATGTTAGAATGAAAAGAAATAAATTCGATCAAGTCTTAATCATGTCTCAAACCTTGCTGTCTTCCTCAGAATAGAATATCTCTTAAGTTTTCTTTTGCGAAACTTTTCTGACTAATAAAGTCTGATTGGCGAATATAAGTGTAGTTGTTTTACTGTGCGTAGAATGGGAAAAAAAATTCTTAATATTTTGGTATTCATGTCAGTTTGTTAATCAGAATTTTCGAAAAATATCCAAATAATTAACAAAGCGTTTATAAAGAAAAATAAACGGGATCAATTGTCTGAATTAAAGGATAGTAAAGTGTACAAAATTAACCTTTTTTATCGTACCATATAACTGACGTACACACATTATTATTGCACAGCTTAAATTCTGCGTAAAGATGAAGGGACATTCATGTAACAAAGTTTTTTCTGTTTACCAAATTCTACAGAATTCTTTTCGGCAATTGACCAAATCGACCAGCAGACACCGAGACAATGTCTTAAGTCTCGAATTTGGGATGATTTGATGGAAGAAAGTAGCAAAAGATTACTTAAAAGTTATTTTAAATTAAAAATGATACAGAGCGTACATGTCCCTTGATTTTTACCTTGTGTTATACATGTACCAGTTGAATATATATTTTTGAAATTATAGCTTTTGTTAGAAACTTTTTGAATTCTATATTGTAACGGGACATTTTTGGTTCATCTTATTTTTCAATTCCCAACTGAAAGCTGAAAATTATTTTACAAACGCTTTATGACATTTTTGGCAAAACTGAAAGCATGTCACTTTTTTCTTCGAAACAGTAATTCTCGTATTCTTCCATCGCATTAAATTTCGAAAAGACCATTTATAGGAATAGTTTTCATATCACTATTTGTTATAAAGAGACGCAATGGCGGCGAGTCTATGTTATACTATAAGGGGCTATATATAAAGTTTTGAAGTTCATGGAAATTTGGAACATTTTTAGCACTCGATTATATCAGTTCGTTACTTGGCAGTTTTTATTTCTTACCAAATTCATGGGGAGGGGGAGGGTACTATGTCAGCCATTGCCTCTGAGAAGGAAGAAGTGACAAAATATATCCTTGTTTTTTAATGCGTCGTTTTGTATTTTTATACATTGGAATGAGCCCATCTATAAGTCAAGTAGTTTTGTTGGTAGTTTATTTGTAAAATTGAACAAATAGAAAGGTGTACATATTTTAGAAAAATCTCTGATGTAACTTTGTCTTATATATAGTGAACAATGTTAATAATAATTTCTTTTAATGAAGCTTGACAGAAAGATGCCTTAAATGTATTGATGTATACATGGAAATTTATTTTGCTCTTAATAAAACTTTAGAAATCTGTTCGAAATGCCTTAGTGTTTCATTGGCTCAGTGGGTTTCTAGGGGTTGGGTTTCGAATCCTGGGTTGGGTGTTTGGAAATAAGTAGATATTTTTCAAGAAGGCCTTTTTGAATTTCCGGTTGGTTACTATAAGAGAAAAGTCTACCAGGGGTGGGTGGGTGGGAACACTTAGAGGAGTGGACAGCACGCGCGACTCGGACACAGCAACACCAGGTTCAAAACCTGGCGCTTCTAGGTCCCAGCAAATTACCTTTTGCCAAAAAATTCTAAATAGGTAATTTAAACCACGATAGAAGGATTCTTTTGACTTCTTCCAAACAAGCTGAGGCAGTGGCTCAGTGGGATAGACGACAGACTCGGAAGCAGGAGAGAGAGAGTTCGAGTCGAGCTGAAGGAGAAAGAGGCAGTATATTTTGACAAAAATCTAACTGATAAAAAGTTTATTATTTTTCTTATGAGTTGAAACAATTTCATTATTTACAATTAGACTAAGTTAAAATGACATTTGTATTCTACATTAAAAGCAATTCTTATTTTAATTATTTTACAAGTCAAAAATGGAAAAGCTACGATCCACCAACAAGTCAGACATTCTATGCATTTTGAAAATCACTACTCAAACTACATTTTTATTTTTATATATAGAAACGATTCTGTGGAATGAAGCAGCCAACAATGTAAAAACCAGAAAATAGAATTTACAGGATGAGGTCCGATTAAAATTTAATTGAACTTTGTGCATTTATTTTATTTCATTGAAAAAATTGCGTAAACTCAGTAGTTCATTCGCATACGGGAATTCAAAATGCATATAATGTCATTCACCTCAAATATACAAACACTCCTTGTTCTATGTCGTCGCGCTGAAGTTCGCACGCAAAACCAAAGACTGAGCCAAAACAAATTATTTCTCAAAGATTTTTGGTTGTCCTACTAGTTGATAGATATATGTAGCTCACATCAAATCCTAAAACATGTACATGTATCTGCTAAATTTTTTCCTTAGAAAACAAGTTTCACAGCGTGCGAATCAGGAACGACATAAAAAGCATGGTGATTTTACAACTGTATCTAATCCATATCCATCTTAGGCATAATACACACAAGAAAGTGAATACACAGAAATCAGCTTACTTGATATAACTTACCAACACATTGATTCAGAAAATACTGATAAATTTAACTCTGGTTCCCGGTGTTCAGTGATCAAGAGACACAAAGCATATATAACCCATTAGTACGTGTTGGACTGGCATAATATGCGGTCTTTTTTTTTCAATTATCCTTTGACCTTACCAAAAGACATTGCAGAATTTTAGAAGTACTGTGTACAAGACCAACATTACATAGAACGCCTAGCTACAAAGTTTTGGTAAAAATTAGTTCTAAAAATGGCAAATAGGACAATTTTTTATGCGAATGTCGATTTTTGATGTTTATTGAGAGAAACAAAATAACCATGAAAAATATTATATTTAGATGATAATTTGGTAAAGTCGCAAATAATTGACAATGTGAAAGAACTGCTTTAAAATAGCGATACGCGTTGATAAAGTCTTATGAAATTTAAAAAAAAAAAAATCTTGTAAATTTCTCAATGAATTCAATCATATTGTACTTGTAGAAGATTGGAAAAAGTTGGTGACCTTAAATCAATATCGTGGACATACTCGCTACCCCAAATATTAAATTTTCATAAAGGTATAATAATCAATTTGAGTTTGATAAGCAATTTTCAAAAATTCAAAGTGGAAAAGGTTATGATAAATGCCAGTCCAACATAGATATTTTAATGATAAAAGCTCCGAAATAATCCACTTATAATAATTAACCAGTTATTTCTTGATGATAACCCCATTTCTGGTTTGTGATATTTGAATACACACGCTATCAAAACACCGAGAACCAAAGCAAGTTTATTCCTAGCATACGTCACAATTCCATTTTCACGGTTTTAAGAATACTTATTCAAAACGTGTGGGCAATTCTGCATTAACCTAGGCAAATTTGTGCAGTTTCATAATACCGTTATTTCTGAAACAAACAAGTCAAAGTTATAATTTTTGCAGATTTTCATCACAATTTTTTTTTAGAACTAAACAAACAACATAGTAATAAAAGTCGCCTATGTGCACTACACGTAATGAAGTTGAGAATTTTGTTCCCAGGGGTTAACTTATTAAGTTAAATGTAAGAGATCTATTCAAAAGGAATAAAAACAAGTGCAAAGCAATATATCTAATTGCAGATTTGCCCACACGAAATATACCTCCGCAATAAATAAATAAATAATAAAAAACAAAAATGAAAAAGGTCGAACTAGCACAGTACTCTTTCTGAACATTAGTGATAACTTAACAACAATCACTGCATCGATTACTTTCACACAATACTTAATTAAGTAAAGCATTTTTGTACTGACATAATTTCTCTTAAAGTGAATTTTCACAAGTTTCGTTCCGGTTCCAGGAACCGATGGCCACCTTTTTTCCGAACTAAAAAAAGTCACATAAATTTACCAAAAAAACACCATGGACAGAAAGAGTACTGTGCCGGAACACATGAGTATACGCGGACTCTTCATGAGATATATGCCCTATTCCATACCGTCTACGAACTCTACAAACTGCCAGGAATTGACGAATTTTAGAAATGGTGGGGAATCGCAAAATTTTGTACATTTCTGGCAGAAATCGTGTCCCTGTTTTGGCTTGAATTCACTTCATAGAGCACTGGCTATAGAACTGAAGTATGAACATCAACTGGTGATAAATAAACTTGTGCGAATTTTTGAGCCGATTGCACGATCTTTCAAAATTGCAAGAATTGGCCGACACTAAGCAAAAATCAGTTAAGAGATTACCGGTACGTGTAAATAATTTATGACAATTAAACTAATAACCCTGGGATTTATCAATTTTTGGTGGTTCCTCGAATTCGTAGTCGGTGTGGAATAGGGGCAATACAGGGATGACACTCAATACAGATTTACGCTCTTTCTTTTTACCCATTAAAAGTTATGAGTCATGAATTTACGTGCGTTGTTCCATCTCATACACATACATTTTGTCGAAAAATATTACCACCCGAAGTAAACTGTGCATTTCATATTAAATGTCAACCCTGCAAATAGTCTAAATGACAAACGTCGGCAAGCGAAACAATCGTGGCTCGGGTACTGCGAACACAAATCTGATGCCTTTGATGGAGGATGCTACCAATTCCCTTTCGAGCTGTGGTTAAAATCATCTGAAATGAAACGAAGAAATTAACATTAACAAAACAATGTCTAATGGTTTGTTTAAGCAGTATATAATCATTACAACAGCAAACTTGGTACACGTGTCTAAATATTATACAAATCACTATTTAAATTGTGAATCATGCGAATATACTTTTATACCCTGCACACACCAACAGAACAAATTCCACTTTTAAATTCATATAAATACTAGGTAATTTAAATTCAAGACTTCAAGACAAAAGCTTTTTTTCGAGAGGTTTCGTTTATTGCCCATGGCTTGTTGAACACTGAAGCACAATGTTGATAATACTTGTGTAAATTGCTTTCATTTCCTTTCATTTCTTTGACAAGTTTGGACCACCCCTCTAAACCATGTATTTTGATAAAAATAATTTGAACAAGTTTCTAGATTGTAATTCATTATAGCAAGGGACAGAATGTTCAAGATATCAAGAAAATCGCAGTAGTCAGCAATAAAATAACAGGCCCATAAGGAGCTAGGAATGTTATTACCTTCTAGACATATTACATCGTTGAAGACAAAGCGAGCTCAGACATCATGCAAGCTGGAATACGCCCTTTACTGGCTCAGTGGTTAGTGGCAAAAACGCCCTCCCTGTCAAATAATAGAAAATAATCTATTTTAACCAACTGTACTCGACTTTAAAGGAAAGGTCCTTAAAATATAATAAGATAAAATATTCATGTGGTTATCATGACTAAAATGTGGAACTATTTACGACAAATATCGTCAACGCAAATTAAACGTTTATTTTTTTTACATACATATACTAGTAGGCACTTACCTACACAGTACGTACAACAAATTGTTGCCAGTTTATGCGCAAAACGTCCAGCTTACCTATAAAATCCGTAGCATTTCGACATGAGGCTTCTTTCTTCGCCATCTCTTCTTTCTTCTCCTGACCTTGGTCGTATCTGAGCACCTCTCACCAAATTGCTCACCTGATTTTCATAACAATGTATATAGGCCATCCACTTTCCGTACGGAAGCCTCGATTTAAAATTTAGCCCTCCTTTTTGTATTTTTCTTTTTTTTTAATTTGATAAGGCATAATGGATCCTCATATTATAACGGGGAGCGTGGTCTGTAAAGACCATTATGGCAAAACCAATCACGTTTTATCAGCCGTCATAATATCAAACAGGTTCCACAGATCACTGAATGAATCCAGCTTAATCACTACTGCGGGATTGTGTTAGAGAAGTCAAAATGTGCTTTTCTCTAAATCGACGGCGTTGCCAACAGATTTATTGTTATATAAAAAAGAAAAACATATTAGCAGTAAATTTTGAACTAGAAATCAAAGCACTTTAAAGGCGTTTCATTTCAATAACTTGTAAGTTGTCTTGCTTCAAACGGAACCCACAACGATGAAAAGTACAATGTCGTAATGACGTAATTTGGGTGACAACGTTGAGAGGAAGTTTTCTGTGACGTCAACAGACGTGTGCTCAGCCATTACACGTGACATATAACGTTATCATTATGACGTCACGTAACAAAACAATTGTTTCTAATTGTAAAGATTTTTTTCAGACAGGCTAAAAGACAGTTTAAGTTGGTTATAAATTTCACACTGTTGCCTCGTAAATAACGAAGGCAGGTCTTTTGCCGAGATGAATGAGGTAAGTGGCATTATTTGCACTGAATTATCATTATTATAAAAATGTACAAATGACGTTTTATTTGTGGCAACACACTTGAGGCGAATATTTTGCTGATTTTTTTATACTACCCAAAGTAACTCGATTTCTGCCACATTAATGCAGAAAGAGATTAGATATGTATTTCATGCAAGTATAATAATAATAATGATAATAAAATAAAAATAATGTTTATGCTCATATAAGTGTGCTGTTTGCAATAATAAAGTTATATAGCCCTTTGCTCTGTGAGTTGGACCAAATTAATTTAAAACCAAATCAACAGGACATGTCACTGCCGAATGTATTTGCTAAATTACTATGTCACTGGCGAATGTATTTGCTAAAATTACTAAAACGTTCTTTGCCATTCGCGTACGAATCCAGTCGTAAGTGTGTATGCGTGTTTGTGTTGGAATGGTGGTGCGGGTCTTTCCATTCAGAAAACAAAATATAGGAGATGGGGGGCGTAAAGTATAGAGTCTGCATTTGAAGTTAGGCATCGGTTGACTGTGGACTGTGAACTGTGGCGCTAATTCATTGTACGCTTGTCTGGGTTTCACTTGTCGGTGACGCTTGTGCACGTAAATAAAGAAATATCAACATTTGAAGACAAGGTAAATTTTAGCGACGTCTGATGGACCGGGAGAGAGGAAAAGTTTAGCAAAAATAGCATGTAAAATAAAATGTAAAATAACTAGGTCGGGGGCAATTGCCAACCCTCCACGTAACACACGGCCTACGGCTCTGTCTAAAACGAACCCTTCTGACTTAATGACATGAATTAAATATCTAAAAAACGAGTATTTTGTGAAGTTTCGGTGTGCAGTTCATATTAGGATATCGTGTTAAGGTTATGTAGCATATTAAGTGTAATTTTTACGGCACATTTGCTTACAGTGAATCACATGCAATCGCATGCATTCCCAAGTAAATTATCAAACTCACCCACACATTCATTTGGTATTATATATAGAGAAAACAGTCATAAAGCATCTTGTAATTGAACATTCACAAATAAATTTCTTTTCTTGCCACTGAAATTATAAACCCAGCACAANTGCTCAACATTCTGAAGCTGAAGTACTTGGTCATAGAACTGAAGAATGAACATCAACAGGTGATAAATGGAAGACTGGTTTTAAACTAGTTTCGATTTCGCGATCTTTCAGAATTGCAAGAAAAACCAAATAAACTAGGATCAGTTAAGCGCTTTAATAATTTATCACGATTAAACTAAGTACCATGGGGTTTATCAATTCCCGGCGGTTCGTAGAATTCGTAGTGGGTGTGGAATATGTGCAATGCAGGGTTGACACTTAATACAGATTTAAGCTCTTTCTTTTTTCTCATTAAAAGGTTCATGAATAAAATACTCGTTACGTGCGATGCTTCATCTGATACACGTGCATTTTGGCGAAAATTATTACCACCCCAAGCAAGTATTAAATGTCAACCCTGCAAATACATGTAGTCTAGATGACAAACGTCGGCAAGCGAGACAATCGTGGCTCTCGATCGGGTACTGGCGAACCCGAATCTGAGGTCTTTGGTGGAGGATGCTACTAATGTCCTTTCCAGCGGTGGTTAAAGTCACTGAAATTGAACGAAGGAATTCACATTAGCAAAACTATGGCAAAGGGTTTGCTAAAAAGTGTATGATCATTACAAAAGTCAAATTTGGTACACGTGTCCTTGTATTAAACACATTACAATTTAAACTGTAAATCACACGAATAAAATTTAATACCCTGAACACACCTTCACAACGAGTGTCTTTTAAATTCACATTTATCATATCTAAAATTCGTAATTGTGAAAGCTTTTTTCCCCCCAGAGGTTTCGTTCGTTCTTTTTGATCACTGACGTGTGGTGTTGAAAATACTCGTGCCAATACCAAAATTTCCTTTCATTTCGTTGACAAGTTTAGGTCAACCCTTTTCAATCGTGTATTTTGATATAATAATTTAAACAAGTTTCTAGATTGTAATTCATTATAGCAAGGGGCAGAATGTAAAAGATATCAAGAAAATCGCTGTAGTCAGCAATAAAATAACAGGCCCATAAGGAGCCAGGAATGTTATTACCTGTCTAGCCATATTACATCGATGAAGACAAAGCAAGTTCAGACATCTTGAAAACTGGAATGCGCCCTTTAATGGGTCAGTGGTTAGTGGCAAAAGCGTCCTCTCTGTCAAATAATAGAAAACAACATATTTTAGCCGACTGTACTCGAGTTTAAAGGAAAGGGCCATTGAAATATAATGTAATAAAATATTCATGTGGTTATCATGACTAAAACGTGGAACGCACTATTTACGGCAAATTAAACCTTTATTTTTTACGTACACATATATGAAGGCACCGATCTACTCACAGTACGTACAACGAATTGTTGCCAGTTTAGGTGTAAAACGTCAAGCTTACCTGTAAAATCCGTAGCATTTCGACATGAGGCTTCTTTCTTCGCCATCTCTTCTTTCTTCTCCTGACCTTGGACGTGTCTGAGCACCTCTCACCAAATTGCTCACCTGATTTTCATAACAATGTATATAGGCCATCCACTTTCCGTACGGAAGCCTCGATTTAAAATTTAGCCCTCCTTTTTTGTCTCTTTCTTTTTTTTTATTTGATAAGGCACAATGGATCCTCATATTGTAACGGGGAGCGTGGTCTGTAAAGACCATTATGGCAAAACCAATCACATTTTATCAGCCGTCATTATATCAAACAGGTTCCACAGATCACTGAATGAATCCAACTTAAATCACTACTGCTGGATTGTGTTAGAGAAGTCAAAATGTGCTTTTCTCCAAATCGACGGATCAACAGACGGATTTTTTAAATTAAAAAGAAAACAAATTTAGCGGTAAAATTTGAACTAAAAATCAAAATGCTTTAAAAGTGTTTCATTTAAGAAACTTATAAGTTGTCTTATCTTTAATCAAGCGGAACCCACAACGATGAAAAGCACAGTGGCGTAATGACGTAATGTGGGTGACAATGTTGCGAGGAAGTTTTCTGTGACGTCAATTAACATCTACTCGGAAATAAAACGTAACGTATGGCGTTATCATTATGGCGTCACATAACAAAACAATTGTTTCTAATGGTAATCGTAAAGATTTTTTCCGACATGCTAAAAAGACAGTTAAAGCTGGCCCCGTATCTCGAAAGCATCGCGTATTGCGAATCGCCATATCAAAAAGAGGCTACAGTGTATTATATGGGACGAGTATGGGCGAGTAATGGAATCGAGACGCTTGCGCACGTGCGCAACATAGCGAAGCTTTCGAGATACGGGGCCCTGGTTTCTATATATTTTACACTGTTGCCACGTAAATAACGAAGGCAGGTCTTTGGCCCAGATGAGAGAGGTAAGTGGCATTTTTTGCACTGGATTTTATTACTATTATTATAAAAATGTAGATATAACGTTTTTATTTATAGCAACACTTTCGAGGCGAATATATTTTTTTTGCCACCTATAAGTTACTCGATTTCGGCCACATTGATTTAAAACCAAATCAACAGGACACTGCCGCATGTCTTTGATAAACTTGCCTAAAAATATGATAGAAAAAAATGCTCATTGTCATGTACATGTAGTACGAATCCAATTGTAAGTGTGTGTGTGTGCGTATTTGTACTGGTCTTCCCGTTCAGAAAATAAAATGTAGGAGATGGGTGTGTGTGTGTGTGTGTGTGTGTGTGTGTAAAGTATAGGTTATGCATTTGAAGGTAGGCATCGGTTGACTGGTGCTGTGAACGTGGCGCAAATTCATTTACATTACACGCTTGTCTGGATTTCAGTTGTCGGTGACGCTCAATATTTAAAGACAAGGTTGAATCTTCAAAGAATTATATTCCATCCAATGTGCATCTTTTTTTTTCATCGGATATATCTTTTATTGTAACCATGTGAAGATGGCCAAGTCTTCAAAGACGCAGTATTTAGTCAACTTTGAGGCTAGCTAACGTGCAGCACTCGCTCATATCGAAATTAAATAGTCTCTCCTGCCTCACAAAATAAATCGTTTTTGTGGACAATACTTACGAGTCTTGCCACAAGAAGATAGTTGAAAGGTTTTAATGATAATCAATAAACCTTTGGTCAAAAAGAATTGATACACCGTCATGTAACAAAATTCAAGAAACAGTGCATATTTAATAAATAAATAAATAAATAAATAAATAAATAAATAAATAAATAAATAAATAAAACGGTTAGTCGTTTCAAAATGTCAAGCAACAGTGTTTATCAAATATAAATAAATAAATAAATACATAAAATGGTTAAACGCTCAGTCATCGTTTAAGTTTTCAATTATTATTTTCATTTGGTGGGGAAGGGAATCCTAGAGCCCCTGCTGCCCTCTAGCATTTAGTTCTGGCGTGGTTATAAATATTCACAATCCTCGGCCAAGCCGGCACGCTCATCAGCTGGTTCTGCGTGAAATACATGGCAAGTGGACCCTGAAATAAATAAATAAATAAATAAATAATAATAATAATTATTTGAAGATGTACATTAGGCATATGTCAAATCATTGCCGCTGAACCTGGCCAAATGCCACCAAATAGTTTCAAATGATGTTATTTCAAGAAATATTACAGTTGTATTGCATTTGTTTTAATGTTTGGACGGAAAATTTCAGCTTACTTCCTGTGGTTTACGAAATGGAGTGAAAGTAAGTACTTCTGTTCGAGAACAATTAGCTAAATATTCGCTCGGATACATGTATTTGAAGAAGGTGTAGTTTTAAACATTTTTTGCTGCTGGAGAGTTTCAGTTGGTTCATTTGTCATGTGGATTTGAGTAGCGTCGTGTTAAAAACTAGTGCTAATTAATGTCCGTTACAGAGCATTTACGCCTGCTTTTCAAGAATCATAACTCTTAAAACCCACACCTCTAATTCAGCGTAAAACAATCTTAAAGTATTATAATTTCAATCAGCCATCAGTAAAATATGGTATCGAATAAGGCTTTACAAGTGTAAAACACTCCAAATGATATAAATAATATGCCCACAAGCCAGCAAAAGCAGAACATTTAAAAACCCTACCATAATATTACCAGAACTTTCTTTTGGTCATATAAATTTAATGGTAGCGTTATGATAATATTTTGTGCTTGCTGGGTAGCATGCGTATGTTACAGGGGTGGATCCAGGAATATTTGAAAGGGGGGTCCGAGGATGCGAAGCCCCCCCCCCCCCCCAAACTGGGCTTGGGGTTCGGGCCTCGCTGAAGGGCACCGAAAATTTTTGGTATTTTAGAGGGTGTATGATGCCATTTGGTACGGTTTAGAACTATGATTCAGCTAGTCAAAATTCTAATTACAAGAGTGGACCAAATCGAAGGGAGGGGGGGGGGGAGGGGGTCAGGACCCCCATGACCACCCCCCCTCTAAATCCGCCACTGTGTTACTCGGACATACCTTCATGCATACGTGATTGAAGAGTTCCTGTAGCGGCAGATAACACTGGGCGTGGCATACTCTCGACAGGTGACAGTTTGCGAGAATCTCATTGGATAATGTTGAACTGACTAGGTTTAAAAACGAGGCCACGTCGCATTCGCCTATTCGTCCCGCTGGAAAAATGTTCGATTTGATGTTAAAGACATACTGTGTGAGTTAAATATTTATATGGAGAAAAATAAAATCCTGGAAACTTCATCAATATCCACGACCATCAATGTATACCCTATTTGAAAGTGTTGGGACAACTGCGATCTACAGGTTCCAGTATAAACCGGTGTAACAGGAAAGGTAGTCCACTCTGCATTACTTAGAACAGGTGACATTCGTCCCATCTTATAATCCCAATATCCCGACAAACCCTAACCTGCACTGGGAACCCGGACCTCTATTCCTAGGACTACCATTTCTGTCACACCGGTTTTCGAGCATATCAATGTTTGCGTGAAAGTATACCCTTTGCAGGGTCGCAGATAATTATGTACACCTTTTAAGTACCATCATTTATCTAGAGACATATTTGTGAATATCTAGAGAAAAATCAATTATTGATACTCGTTGGGGATTCGTGCAAATACATGTACTCACTCTTCCTCGCACATTCTCCAGTTTCTAAACTTTGAAACTGTGCGCATTGGTCAAAACGAGGCACGGCGGGAAAGTAGCTGACGAAAGCGTAGCACATCTCTGCCTAAAATGTCAAGGAAGGAAGGCATGTTACCTATAAACAGAGCACATATAACATGTATATCGAGACTGCGTGCGATTGATATAAAAACATCATTTTCCTTATAAACCGGCAGGTCGAACACAAGACGTAAATACGAATGTATGTTCAGAATATTCATGTAACCTGTGTGCCGCCATTATACTTTTGTGACGCAATCGATACATTTCGTATGTTTAAAAAATTATAATTGAGTAATCCCGGATATGAAAAGATACAGAAAAGAAACATGATAATCAAACGGCCGCATCTGACTAATCAAAGATCACAGAACTTAAGAGAAATAGAACTTTAAAAAGTTTTAAATTTTAAAAAATGAAATAAATAAATAAATAAATAAATAATTAAATAAATAAATAAAATGTAACGAAATCAATCACTACACCTCGTCGTCTCAAATAAACGCACAAACGTCTTCCGAAATTTTAAAATGCTTTTCTTCTAACCTAAACACCAGCCTCTCTATACATGTCCATTTCCTTAAAAAAAAAAAAAAAAAAAAAAAACAGTGTATTTAAGAATCAATAATAATCAACTTACATCTGTACCAAGCCCAAACAAAGTAGTGTTATACCGCCTCCGGTCTCCGTCCAGCGTGTTGTACCAGCACCGCACAAGGACCTCGTCTCCGGGGAGAATCTCCACCGCGGGGTCGTGGACGTGGATGGGCGGGGTCACGTACTGGTATTCGGGGTCTAAAGCGATCACGCGGATAAGTTTGCCGTTGCGGTACTGCTCCATGGCGCCTGCCGTGGCTGGAAAACATGAAAGGGATCTGGTGTATGTATATACCTACCTGTCTATCTATACAATTAATTCCCACTGTCAGTGAGGGAGCCAGGTCCCCTTAGGGGTGGGGTATGTGGGGGGGGGCACAAGTACTGTTTTAACGTGTTAGACTTGTCTATTCTCGATATATAACTAACTATAAAAGAGGGCAGTTTCACTATAATGAGTAGAACACAGAAATGGATACTAACTTTGATTTATTTCGTTTCGCTCGTTACACTTTTACTTGGGAGCGGGGTGTGTGTGTGTGTGTGTGGGGGGGGGGGGGGGTAGGTAGGGAGAAAGAACAAAAATATGTATCCCAGAAACTGATAGCGCCCTTTCCCTCCAGACTTAGGCTTAGGCAAGCTTAGGTAATGCTATCTCAATACATATCTAGATACGGAAGTGGAGCGATTTCCTTGAGTAACCCTCAACATGTAGCTGTATTTGTTTACTGTAGAGTTACGTGGGAAATTTGGTCTGAATGGAAGGTCGCATGCACATTAACATCCTTGTCACTAACGTTTGTAGCTGCAAGTATAAACTCCATCAAATCTGAATGTTGAAAATGCTTCCTAGTACGTGAGAGTTATTGTAAAATTGAGTAGAAGTCACAGACGGTGTTTTGACTTCAACAGAAAAGAGAATGACAAATGACGCTGAACAGAGAGATAGTCTATAAACAAAACGGAAATGGTGCTCTGTTCTCAACAGGTGCTTCGACTTGAAGAGATCTGGAATGGCACATGTCGTCGAAAATAGGCTAAAATAACACAGCACAGACTTTGTCTATTCCCTAGGGTTTTGAAACCCTTCAGCTCTGGAAGATAGCAAAAATTTAATAAAAGAGCCACCTACAGTACTACCGGTTGCGGTAAAATGGGTAGATTAGACATAATTGAACGCAAAAAGACAACAGGCATACATGTATGAGCTAAAGTAATTAGAGTTTGGGAGAGAGTTAGGCCCTTAGGAATAGGATATATATCTTACAGAGGACATTTGGTTATATGCAGTAACCGAATTGCATAGCGGTAATTCGATCTGATAGGCAAAATACCAGAAAGTTAACCGAATCTTACCACTCATATCTATCTTTTACGAAACAATTGTATCCCATGAGTAATTCTCCAGGGATACCGTAATTTGATAGATCTTGCATGAAGCTATTCATTGCATACGAATATGTTCGTGTTTTTAAGTCTTTGTTGGGTGTAATGTTTGAAGAAATGCCGTCTTGTTCGTGTTTATTGGAGGCAAAACAAATCTGTAGAACCTCAATTGAAAGCATTTGAACATTTACTGTCGTTACTTGGTTAGGAAGTGACACAGAGAAGGACCATGGGGAACTAGACCGTCTTCTTTCCACCGATAGTGAGATATTACTGGCTGCTGAGGTGTTACAGCCATTGAAAGTGTCTACTTTGACAGAATGGAACACATACTGCATGACTGCTTCTTACCAGTCTGTTTTTAGCATCTTGATATCTACCTCGCAAAGAGAGAGACGTTCATTTTGCTAAACAAGTAAATAAACAAATACTCAAGAAAATAAAGAAACACCCTTTTGCCTATATATAATTAATAGACACTTAGCTTTCCACTTCAACGTTAACACCTTTGAATTTTATTAATTTACCAGTACTTACCCAAATGATGCATATGTAAGTATGTTCGGGTTAAATAAATTGGGTGTGGGAGTCTTTTCTTCGTGCAGTAAGGCGTACAGCCGCCGTGCTGCTCGTAGTCACGTGACAGCGGAGGGATCGCCAAGTAGTTCTGACCAAATTGGACGTTCCCAAGGTCGTACTTGCGCAGTCGAGGAGTGTAGTAAATTCGCATTCCGGAACTGTCTAAAAGTGAACTTGTGAGAATTAAAAAAATAAACTTTTTCAAACAAATATACATCAGCTGGTTTTCCGCTATTAAAGCTATTGCAAATCAATGTAAGATAATCAAAAGCTTAGTATTTTTGTCTAATAGTTTCTTTATTTTCTTTAAGACTTCAGCTTCTTTTTTTATTTTTTAAAAATTACATTACAATGAATTACATTATCATAGTCCTGATTGCCAGTCTTAGTTGTATCATTAAAGGTCTACTGGTTAAACACCGTTAACTCTATCAGTTTAAAGGGATAATAACTCTTCGTATGAGATCTACCGGTATATTTCACAATAAAAACATTGTGAATAACTCATAAAAAAAAACTTTCGAGAAAAAAAAAAAAAAACCAGGGACTAACTTTAAATGTAAAAATGGATTCGTTATCCATTGGTAAGTATGGGAAAATTGTTGTTTACTCCAGGAAAATTTTGGCCGAAACGAAGAGTTATTATCCCTTTAATTTTAAGACTTTTTTTATCTTTGAGCTTAAACACAATCCCGTGCCGAACCCATACGAATTTCGCACCCATGTCCGTATCCATCCGTACTACTACTAGTACCCTACCTACGTAGTCGCCTCTGAGGTCCGGGTTGTTCCAGTGGATCTGAAGCGACATGTGTCTCATACTGCCCCGGCCAAACTTGGCCCCCGTGTTGTGGTGGGTACAGATCTGTCCCTCCAACCCCACCGTCCACACTGTTAGCCAGGTCTCGCATTTCAAGTCCTCTGCCCCGCATAGGTGTGGGTCCTGGAGACGAAGAATGTGAGTGATATAAAGGCATATATTTATATTACAGCTGGAACAAAATGTAGGTTCTATGAAACATTCGTCCTACCAGCAAACACAGAACGTTTTATAACGTTACCATGACGTTACCATGGTGATATAAACGTTATGGTAACGTTATATTTACGCTCTGTGCTTGCTGGGCTAATGCCGCTGTGCCCCCCCCCCCCATCTATCAGTCACTAACAAGTATGAACAGTAACTATGCTTATAAGTTAAAAAATAATGATGACAATAATAAAATAACCAATATATAATGACTATATAAAATAAAATGGGAAATAGGCCATGCACTTTATTTGATGGAATTCGTTATTCTATCAGTTATTTTTTCACAGACATTTACAACTTAATAAAGTAATTGCAATCTGAAGTGACACATTTTGGGACAAGGCATATCCGATATGTTAATTATAAAAGAGGTCTGTAATTCTTACTCCGGCTGTTACGTCATCTCCGCATGCAAATAAGATCATGTGATGCATGACGTCCTTGTTGGCGATGATTGGCTCAAAGGCAACCGCGTGGTACACTTCATCGCTTGGGACCTGTTATAAGAGGATGAATGTTAGTTGCATTTAAATAACACGCGATAAAACACGGGTTTGCACATTGCAAGTATACAACTTATACATGTATTATAGAAAATAAACTCTCTCTCTCCCAAACACACACATACACACGCACAGACACACACAATAATAATAATAATAATAACAATGATGGTACCTATTTTTATCTCACCCCAAAATAAAAAAAGGTGATAAATTGACGCTAAACGCTCCGAGATGCCTATCCTTATGCTTAGCAAAGAAAAATATAAACGCCAATATTTCGAATTTCTGAGGTTATTTTTAATCAGCATTAATGTAGATGCATTATCGAAGAATTAGATGTACGAAAAACCTCATTTCCGGTATCAGGACGATTATAAACCCTTTCAATACCCTTAAGTTTTAAGACGCATTTTTACAGGTTACAATAAAAGTTTATCTAGACTGATCGTAAATTTCTGACAAGAACACCGTGAACAACTACATGTGGATCGTTTAAGTTGGTGCTACTTTACAAAATTATCATGGGTAAAAACAAGGCATTTAAATGATAATGATAGCCTTGAGCAATGATAAACTTGAACATTGCTGCTAAATATCATCTAATACTAAGGGATATATCACTTCCGCTAGACTTGTTTAAAATAAAAGATTTGAATGAATTATAAAGAGACAAGCTATGCGATGTTTACTGAATAAACATAATCATACAGTAGATATTATATGCATTATAAGAATTACAGGTGGTATTTTGGCAAGTAAAACCAGCACAATGAGACCTTCATTACGCGCTAGTGTAAAGTGCGCTCTTGAGGGTTTAACTCTCAAGACATATTTTACTTTTAACATGGAAATATGAATTGTTATTCCAAGTTACGACCCAAGTGGAAATTCTACGTTTCTTGGCGACGCCGAAGAGCAACTGAAAACGCAACGTTTTATAAACAAAGTCACATCTGTTATTATTATTATTATTATTATTATTATTATTATTATTATTATTATATCGTTATAATTTTAAATACAAATACTATTGCACTATTTTGATTTGGATAGTGCTAGTTCAAACTTTTTTAACACAGCTCCTCAATCTTGCTTGGAATAGCGATTAATTTCAAGTGGCAGTATTGGCGTGTCAATCCAGTATGACTAAACAGAGAAGATCAAGCTGAATGAGAGCCGGATTTGCTTTTCTACTATCAAAGTAAGCCAATTAATGCTCCACAAAGATACCTTAAACGCATTAGCCAAGACACGTACGGCAACGATGAAATCCTGCCGCTTTTTTTGTTAAATTGCATTTCGTGAACTGGGAACTCCATTAAGACGTAGGGCAACGTGTCAGTCAGATTTTGTTTTACAGTAAATGAACTCCATTTGCGCGCTGACCCTCGAGTTCTTGAAGTACGGAGAAGAGGGTCGTGTTACCAGCTGAAGAAAGGCATTAACAAATGGCTCTAGAGATACACCTCGCTTGAATAGCGGATTTGCTTTTTATCTGGTGTTGTCATGTGAGTTTCTTTTGTGTCCTTTGCATCTGTATGGCATAGATAAAGACACCTCGGTATCAGTAATGTGATAAGTGTTCACTGAACATGCTTTTGTATATAAAGAATCAAAGCCGGTATCACAAAAGACGGAGTTATGAAGAAAATGATATTTTTCCAATTTATATATATGCCGCTACATGCTTGTGATTACACGTAACTAACACGCCCCGTTTAGGTTAATGTCACTTGTTCACACCCACATACAGATTAGATATTAATGGATGTTATTAAAATGGCAAATAAGGTCCATGGTAATCTAAATCCGGTCAATGTGATAGTGAGACATTTGAAGCAAAGAGTTCAAGGCTAAGCGTCTTTTTGCGTGCTACGCTCAATTGTTCATCTCAGCGTGTGGGCTGATGGATTGGATGGTTATTAGTGTTGGTTTTTTACTAGCTATTGCTTGGATCTTACCAGTAAAGAGAGAGAGAGAGAGAGAGAGAGAGAGAGAAAGAGAGAGAGAGAGAGAAGAAGAAGAAGAATTAAGAAAGATAATGATTATATATGCCCCATATACCCCCCTGTATATTTGTGTGTGTGTGTGTGTGTGTGTGTGTGTGTGTGTGTGTGTGAAGCAAAATAAAGGAACGTAAGAATAATGAGAGGGGAAAAAAGTTTTTGTTGTATCTCGAAGGAAGTACATAAGGGTAAGTAAGGGGAGATTCCGGCGGCACTGTATTTAAAGATATGTTAAACCATTTGCCAATCTAATATCAATTCTAACAGTCATTCCCAATACCTGGTCCAATATAGCTGATCCAATATAACCCCACTTTCCCTTCCTACCAAGTTGCAACAACCATCTAGAATATGTTAAATTTAGAACGCAACTGTTCTGGAAACTTGAGCATTATTTCACTTGGACTCTGACTTGGACCTGATGGGAAGGCTTTGAAAAGAAAAGCACTGTTATCCTCTGGGCAATTATCATGCGGGTAAAGTAATGTTCACTATTTTTGTCTCCGATATTGCTTTCTCGGTGGTTAAAAAGGTTGCTATCCTCAAGATAACTTTCGAGAGGGTAACAATTTCATCAAAAAGATTGCCATTTTCATAGGATAGCGTTATCTGGGGACAGTGTTGATGAAACTGGGCCCAGATAATATTATCCAAAGCAGATTGTTTGAGAAAAAAAGAACTTACAGGTATATGAGACAGAAAATGACAACTATAGGGGTTATTGAAATGTCTACATGAATGATGAGTTACATCCATGTATTTCCTGAACAATAAAAAACTAATCATGGATATATAATGCTTGTTCAAATGTCTTATGGTTTATTTCCATGCTACATAGAATGAAAATGACATGGTCCCTAAACACCCATTTGAGCGCTTAGTTCATAACATATTGGACTTTTAGAGCAATAGAATCTGATAATGCAATATATATATCTAATGTGAGCGGTATGTTTAGAAACTTTATCAGTTGCAAATGACTTGGAAGTCCTTTGAACGGTTTTCTATCGATGATTTGCTATAAAGTATAGACTGCATGCCTTGGTAATTGGTTCGAGGTTCGTTAATCGCTGTAATATAATGGGCCATTACGTTGTGTTACATGTACATGAGCATTGGGGAGATAACTCAGGAATTCGGAAATAGACAGTCTTTTTCATGGCGTATTTACAGTGATTAAGTGCTATACACAGATATGGTGTATATACATGTACATGTAGTATGCGAATAAAGCACAACCTGAGCGGAAGTGAATGTAGTATTTTGTGGGAATGCCGTCCAATCCATATCTATATTATCACAATTCCAAACATGAACGCAAGGCCAATGTTTACCGCCGCTCCACACGTTGCTTTGCAATTATTAAACAATCTAATAATTCTTTAACGATTTCCAGTGAATGTTTCCAAGACGCAGACGTTACAACATTGTACCAATTACGCTGTCACGCAAACGATATCTATCCGTATATATGGTTATTCCAAAACCCCGGCTCGTTTCGCTGCATGCATGCAATGTCTTAATGCATTACCATCAGATTAATTTAATTTTGTTGATTAAATATTAATAATAAACGATATGTGTCGCTGCAGTGCAGTGCCAATTGACATACATACCGGAAGTTCTTGGACCGGTTTCACCAACTTTAGCCAGACTAATGATGCAGGATTTTAGAGCATAAAGTTGGCATTTCGTTCAGTGTGGGTTCTTACATGTCTACTATAATAAAGTAAGGGACCATTCCCAGACCCTATCGAACTAACTGTGGATCGACTTATCTCCGAGGGGATTCTCGCTAAATTCCAATCAACTTAGCCGGCTTAGATGTCTGTCACGCCTAAGGAAGCTTCTAGGGGGTAATTAATTATCTTTTAGCAGCTTCAGTAGGCGTGCCCGACATCTAAGCCGCTTATGCTGAAAGCAATTTTGCGAGAAACACCTGGGAGATGAATCGATCCAGTTAGATCGATCTAGGTATGGGAAACCACCTTAAGATATGGTCTAAAACATAAGCCCGACTTTGTTGCAGTAAAACAGACACGATATTTCATATAATTGCACTACCACTAGTTTATCTTTGGTAAAAATTGACGATTTTTTTTGTCCAAAAGTTTAGACTGAGGTAAATTTAGCCGAGCGAATGTTATCTTTGGGGACAGATATCATCCGATTATTTTCCAGACACTTAAACTATTATATTGAACAGACCTCAGGATGGGCTTACAAACAATCTTCATTCACTTATTTATAAAAGTCTACAAAAAATTAATGTCTGTGTATTAGTCGTTTTATTTCAATCAATAGGAAGTTATTTATACACGTAGAACCGTGCGGGGTTATGGTTTAAAGATGCATTTTAAGTCAATATTTTGCCTCAAAAGCCGCCCAATTGCCACCGTATACTGTATAGTTTCAAATAGTATAACTTAGAGAAATACCATAAGGCATCGTTTCATACTGCCCGAAATTTTTATTTGAACGAATTCCCTACTTGCTTTCTAAGCTGTAAATAGAGGGGACACAAAAGTAGGTCAGATAAGTAGGTTAAATTTTCGACACAAAATTTGAAGAAGGCGCAGTTCAAAGCTCTTTTGCGGCTGATCGAATGATTAATTCGAGTTACCCCTTAACTGGCGTGTCGACTTCATTTGAGTAGTATAAGAAGCTTGTAGAATTGTTTCTATGCCTTACTGGGAATCCACGACCCACCAACGCTCGTTTCAGATGTATCTTTAAGTATAAAATCTGCGTCTGCATGGAAAGGCACGATTTGTGACATTAAATATTGGTGGAAATCGATCTGAACTTGGGTCGCTTTTAGACAGTGTAATAAGTCATTAATCGGACACTGGTGTCATTATGTTTGAGCATCCATTAAGACAAGGGTAGGTGCTAGATCACTCTATTATTTAGTCACATTGGCACATTCCTGGTATACGGTAATTCACTTACGGTCAATGGGGGGGGGGGGGCGACCTGAAATAG